TAAATGTGTTTTAATCAATATGGAGGTGCTGTTATCGACCAACCCCATAATCGCATGACTTTGACGGGTTTTGTACAAAAATATGCTCAGGTTCAAGCTTTTGTCTAAATATAGTACATCAATTTGGGCAGAAGTCATGTAGTGTCGAACTTTCCATAATGAAGCATACGATCGCCATGTTAACATGATCAACACATATAGAGATGTACCATGCTCCTTCAACATCGTCAACTCGAATTTTTAAAATATCTTGACCTGCAGTGATATGCGACTGGAAGAAACAGTACAGGAGGAAAAACATCCGGATCCATTCATTTCTATTCGAAAAACGGAAATGAAATCAAAGTTTTCTTTTAACACTCTGGAAATATCAGTATAAGCGAAGGATGTTATAAGGTGAACTCGTTAGAAAAGCATCGTCTTAGATGTGATTAAGTCTTACGCTGGCATTGTTTTAAGTGTTTTAAGAGATGGAATTTGATGAAAACCAAATAGAGAATGTGGCTTGAAGTGAGTCGAAAAAGTATCAAACGAAACCCCAGCCAGAAGCGATAGTGGAAACTCTATGTTCAAGATGAATGTCTGTATCGGGCTTTCTGCTACTTGCACCTATTTATGATTTTATTTGGAGCAAAGACTGCTATGTTTTTTAAAAAATGCAAACCTGAAATCGCATCATACTGCTATCGCAAAGCTTCGAGATGCGGGCAAATTGCAAATAAAAGCATTAAGAAAGTTGAAATATGTTACCTAGTAGTTTCCATCTCAGCGTCGTAATTTTTTTTTCCTAATGTCCTTCTACGTTCATCTTGTTGAGATCTCCGCTTCGCGAGCTTTTTCTTCAGAATAGCCGTGATTTTTGCATCGTGTCAAGCTTTCACTCCAATTTTCCCTTTTCAGAGTGATATGGCTGCAGGACAAAATCTGGATGTTTCAAAAAAACTTAAGGTAATCTTATTCTTACCTTATTGATTCGTCTCGTCATGTAATATCAAATTTCGGTATACCCTATTTTTTATCTAGGCTGCCATAAAAGCAAAGCTGGAGGAGCTAGGAGTTTACGTGGATGATGAGCTTCCAGAATATATCATGGTCATGATTGCGAATAAGAAGGAGAAGAATCAAATGAAAGATGATCTGAATTTATTTTTGGGGAAATGTACGAGTAAATTTGTGGATTGGTGAGTGGTTGACACACGAGCTTTTTAGTTTATTTTACATGATAGTTCGAATCCGCGAAGTTTTGAGGATTATTTTACATGATAGTTCGAATTTCCGCGAAGTTTTGAGGATTGTTGATCAATGTAGTGGCGCTTTCATAAACTAACTTCATATGTCTTTTCCACATTGTTCTTTATATGCACATATTTTAGGTTATTCGATTTATTTGAACGGCTTCAGTCAGCTGGCAACAAACCTGATAGTCACACTTGTGCAGAAAAGTCCAGCAAGGTTAATTTTCATCTCTTTCATTTCTAGTGTGCTAGTAATAAATCTTGTTCGTATGAGAAGTTTTTTTTTCCGTTTTTAGGATGTTCAAAAAGAGCCGGCGAAAGAAAAAGAGCGTAGAAAAGATACTGATGCTTCTACGTCGAGAAAAGAAGATAGGAAAGGTGAACGCTGCTGTTAGATTTACTTTGTTATTTTTGGATTTACTTCAAAAAAAAATTTTTTTTTGTTCTATTGCCTCTGTTTCATATCCCACAATTCTAGAAAGTCGAACTGTTTCATATCCCACAATTCTAGAAAGCCGAACTCATGAGTCCTCGTCGCATCGTCAAATTGAAGTGGAATCCAGAAAGCGAGATGTTGAAAAGGAACGGGAACGCGAAAGGGATCGGGAAAAGGAAAAGGAAAGAGAAAGACAAGAAAAGGAAAGAGAAAGGCAACGGCAAGCTGAGAAAGCAAAGGAAAAAGAACGCGAAGAACGTATGAGAGAAACTGAACGTCAACAAAAAGCTCGTGAACAGGAAAAGTGGGTTTTTATATTGCATCCATGTAATCTTTTTTCCTGTAGGTTTTCTTGTTACTGTGTATCGCGTTATTTC